GGCCAGCGCTGTAACGGTCTGGCCGATCTGGTGTGTGTGTGTGTGTGTGTGTGGTTCGTCTGGCAGTCTTGACAGTCTTTTTTTGGGCAGGCTGGCGGCACTATGGATGAGGCACTGCAAGGGCAGACATACGTGTCTGAGCGCGCGCGAGCTTGTTACAGGCTCACGCAATGGATGGTTGCCCGCAGGAAGAGCGCGATGAGTCGTCGTTGTGGGGAAAGGGAAAAGCAATCAAGAGAGGCACGCCATCGTTGAGTGGACGCCCTGCGCCAACCAGTCGGGAGCCCAAGTCCATATATCGACGGCTTCCGTGGTTCGCCACCGTCCATGGACGAGAACGCACGACTGCGCGACTACGAAACTGCCGTCGCTCGTGGCGGCAAACGGGGCGATCCTGGAGAGCGCAGTACCGAGTGTCAAGGAACGTGGCAGACGTGTCACCCAGGCCCTTTTGGGCCGAAATTGCCCATGAACGAACAATCCCTTTTGGGATTTCCAGTGACCCCCTTCTCATCATGGGTATGCAGGTAGGTCGGTGCTAGTCAGGGGGTTGCTGTATCATCAGATCGGCAAATCTGGTAGGGCTCAATCGGCCTTGGAGTTGGGACGGAAGCCGAACCAAACCGAACGCAGTAGACTGTAGCATACAGAGCTGCATCCTGGTCTCGAGGCACTCTCGAGGCACCCGGCAAGTCGCTGGCCCGGGTCGGTCGAAAGAAGAAGTCCCATCGAGTAGTGTCCAGAAATCTCTTCCGCGCGAGGGCCGCTCATGTCGACGCGCCCGAATCTCACCTTCCCGTCGCTAGGTACCTCTAGGCTTCATTGTCGTGGCGGGCGGAGCCGGGGGGAGCAGGCTACATGCGCACCAACCGTCTGTGCGCTCAAAGCCGCATAAAAGTTGGAATTGGAGGAATTTCGAGGGCTTGACAACGCGCGCGAGCCCTGCTCGTCGTCTGGTCTCCGGATCTGCCGGTCGATAGGACGCGCTGTGCTCGTTATCGTGTCAAGCTACACACGATGTCAGGCTACAGCCGAAAGAATAGCATGAGCATTGCCATTGCAACGTCAGGATTCGATGCATAACAAAAGGGTTGGTCGTCATGGATGAGATGCAACCCGGGGAACCATGCATTCTGTGGCCTGCAGCCCTTGTCCCTTGAAGCCATCTCCAGAAGTCCATTCGCGGCCACAGTTCAGCCTTTCACTAGCGTCTCAACCCAGGCAGGCATTATTCTGATGCGCGCGTCTTGGACGAAAAGAGAGTGCGTTGCAGTTGATTGCGGTGGACCACCTCTGGGGGCCTCCCACCACAGTGATCTGATCGACAGACGTGCCACAACATGCCAGACGGCCATGGTTTGTGTTGAGTGGCGTGGCGTGGCTCGCTCGATACACTGATGCAGGTGCCATGGTTTTACCTGCCCGCCAACCTGCCTCGTGGGGCCGAGGATTAATCAGCGGTAAGCAGGCCCTATACTCCCCTCCACCTTGCGTCGAGGAGAGCGGAGGAAGCGACCCAGGAGCCGGCCATCTGATCTTTCCCCGCGGGGACGGGGAGGTGACGTGATCCTCCACTCGTCGTCACCTTTATACAGGACCTAGGGTATGTACCTTAGCTACCAGACCAGGTAAGGAGGCTCCTGCATCGCATCGACCCAAGGGTCAAGAAGGCACCTAGGTATAGGCAAAGCCAACACAACTCTATCTCGAGCTCAGCACAGAAGACCTATGGCCTCAATGTTGCACCGTCCTCTGCTGTAGACCATTGGGTTCGTCCAGCTGCGCAAAACATGGCTGTCACCCTGGGCAAAAAGGCACGACGTCAGCTCCAGTTCCGTCCATCAATGAGGGGCCGGCCCCAAGCTGAAGCTACCTATCTACCTAGGTAGCTAGCTGGCTGGCTAACTACCTCCAGCTGAGTTGGCAGCCCATGCTACGCATCATGACAGGCTCATCACGCTCCATCACTTGCCACAGTCCTTCTTTTTCCAATCTGGTACAACACACGCACACGCACACACACACACACACACACACAACGGACTACTGAGACAGCGACATTCCGCCCCCGCTCGGCGCCAGCGACTCTGACTTCCTGCCCATCATCATCACCCTGCTATTGTCAGATGTACCCACCCCTACACCTGCCACGGCTCTCCCAGCCAGGCAACCCTTCCGCCGGCCTCGTCCTCTCGTCTTCGAAGCTGATGCGGCCAATGTGCACGCGACAAACGTGACCCGCCATCACCAAATCATGTCCGACGACAGTCCCCCGCGCGCGCGGCCACCGCCGACGACTCTTCCCAACATGACGAACACGACGACGGTCAAAGTCGCCGCCGCCGCCGCCGCCCAATGGCCACGCCATCCGTCGCGCGAACACCATCGACGAGTCCTACCGCCGCCCACGATCCTCCTTCACGTCGGCCGCCGCCACCGCCTCGGGCCCCTATGACGTCCCCCGCAGGAGAGACTCGACCCTCTCCGACTACAGCCTGGGCGACGCCGGCGATCTCTTCAACCCAAAACCCCTCGGCCACCAGCCCTCGGCCGAAGACGGTTCCAAGTGGACGCACTTGCCCATCGCCTTTGCCCTGCTGCCCGCTGTCGGAGGCATCCTCTTCCAGAATGGCAGTGCCATCGTGACGGACGTCATGCTGCTGGGCTTGTCTGCCGTCTTCCTACACTGGTCCGTGACGCAGCCGTGGTGAGTCTACACCCTTCCCCCTTGGGCACGACATGATCGCTTGAAAGATACTACAACGTGAGCTGACCCTTTCACCAGGAGCTGGTACCATTCCGCGCAAGAAGTACGTCTCCATGAGGAGCTGAGTTCATCCCTCGCGGTCGACGACGAGAGCGATCCCGACCCCACAAGCGAAACCGAGCCCGCGGACGCGTCTTCCGCCGAAACCAAGCCTGATGCCAAACGACGAACATCGACAGACGCGACATCGGATGCTCTCGCCGAGCTGTATCTGCACGAGGTCCTCGCCTTGGCTTCGTGCTTCTTCTTCCCCATACTAGGAGCCTACCTCCTTCACACCATTCGGGCGCAGCTCAGTCGACCGTCCGAGGGCCTCGTCTCCAACTACAACCTGTCCATCTTCCTCCTGGCTGCCGAGCTGCGTCCCATGTCCCACATGATTAGACTCGTTCAGTCGCGCACACTGCGACTCCAGCGTTACGTCCACGAGAACCCCTACAGTCAGGTCGCCGCCAACAGCACTCACATCGCCACGCTGCAAGAGAGGATCGAGGCGCTCGAAGCACGCCCAGCATCAGCAACAACATCGGGCACGTCGCAAAACAGCAGCAGAATGGCGCTGCCGAACAGAAGCAGCAGCAAGCCGCCCTCTTCGCGCGATTGTCCGCAACGCGATCCAGCCTGAGCTCGA